GCCTGCGCGTCCGGAGCCTGTGCTCCGCAACGGGAGAGGCCACAACAGTGAGAGGTCAGCGTACCGAAAAAAAAAAAAAAACCCTTCCTAACTTCCATCTCTGAGTTTGTTTCCTGGGGAACCCAACCGGTGACACCATGTCTTTACTCAGTCATTGACTGTTCTTAATTGGAAGGGAGGTAATACATGTCAAGAAAAAGAAAACTGTGGGAATTCCCTGGTGATCCATTGGTTAGGACTCAGTACTTTCACTGCCGGGGCCCCGGGTTCAATCCCTGGTTGGGGAACTAAGATCCCACAAGCCATGACATTATTTGTTTAGTTCTACCCAACTCTCTTTCTGTTTCTTGGTTTCAGACTGCTCACTGGCAATAGAGGAGTGTCCTATGTTGGGCCAATCATAATCCCCCAACTCCCTGGGCACAGTGATAAGTACAAGTGGCGTGCACACGATCAGGTTTGGACAACCAGAACCTTTACTTGGTCATTTTTGTACTGACAGCTAAAAAACTGAACTCCTTTGCTTCTCAGATCATGGAACTGGCAGGATGTGTCCCTATGGATGCTGGGGCCACATTTCCTGTCTACAAGGAAAAGGGCCATCTGAAGTAGGAGAGAATAAAGCCAAGAAAAGGGCGGAAACAGAAAGACCCCAGTTCCTGATGCTCTTCCAATAGTACTGTAAATTACCCTAGTATATATCTATCTATGCACACACACACACACATATAATTTTACTTATTTATTGCTTAAACCAGTTAGGTTGTTTTTTATTTACAATGGAAAGAACTTGCCTACACATCTGTGTATTTTCTATTTCTACAAGCTACCTTCTCTAACCTAGTCCTACTCAATGTCCTAAATATTGAAGAATAAGCTATAAAATAACTACTCCTCTGCTCAAATCCAGGAAGTCAAATTTTTTATGAGTCAACATATATTGAAGACAATATATGCCAAACAGTGTTTTGAGCTCAAGAAAATGAGCTCCATATAAAAGCAAAATTCCTATGATTTAACCTCACTTGCCACTGGGTAATAGAGTCTTACACTTCAATTAAATCTTTTTTATTGTTTTAGAAAGGGTTTTTTTTTTTTTGGTCTGTGTTGGGTCTTCATTGCCGCGCACTGACTTTCTCTAGTTGCGTTGAGCGGGAACTACTTTGTTGTGATGCGCAAGCTTCTCATTGCAGTGGCTTCTCTTGCTGCAGAGCACAGGCTCTAGGCGCGGGGGCTTCAATAGTTGTGGCTCACAGGCTCAGTAGTTGTGGTGCAAGTTGCTCCACGGCATGTGGGATCTTCAATGGACAGGGGCTCGAACCCATGTCCCCTACATTGTTAGGTGGATTCTTAACCACTGTGCCACCAGGGACGTCCTCTATTAAATCTTAAAACATTATTTATCTGTGATTATACTGCCTTTCCAATTATATGAATATATTTATATCCATACTTAATATCATAAATCTTTTTATGGAGATTTTTTATAAATAGGAACTTTTATAACTAATTTTTAAGATTTTAGAACAGTTTTAGACGTACAGAAAACCTGTAAAAATACTACAGAGTTCCAGAGTTCCATTAGATAGGGTTATGAGTTTTGGGGAGGAAAACCACAGAGTGCTACTTCTATCACATCCTATCAAAGGTACATGCTAACAACATGACTTACCACTGTTGTTGTTAACCTCGATCATCTGATTTAAGGAATTGACTTTTACCTCAATTAGTTTAAAGCCTAATCCAGAACCATCTATAGGAGAGCACTTATACACTGTCTTCATGATATCTGGATTGGGTTTGTTAGTAGAGGGAAGAACTCGAAGAGGTAACCATCAAAACAGATAAAAAATTTTTTCTCCCTGGGGGAAGAGTGGAAAGAGGATTGTTTTTCAAGCTTCAGCCCTGCCACTTACTAGATGTATGACTTTGGGCAAGTTACTTCCACATCTGTAAAATGGAATAATGGTACCAAATAGTTCTCTTAAGCATCTGATGAAAAAAATGTATGTGAATGTGTTTTGTACAATAATATTATACTTCTACATGCTAGAATCCCACATAAAAATGAAAACACTTTTGGAAAGATCATCTGAAACATCTTAAGCAGTTTAACGTCACTTTATAGTTTCAACTGCTGGCTAAGCAAAGCAAAGTCAATATGAAATTGATAGATGAGGATTTCCCATTTTTGCCTTGCTCCCTTTTGCCAAGGTCTGCTTGTCCTTTGAGACTGGAGGGGATTTCTTAGATCTTATGAAGCCAGAGCAAAGGGCTCAAGTTTGATGTGGACTAAATATTAATAATTTTGGTGTTTTTTTCCTGTATTTGTGAAAGAGAAATCATCACTCTTTCAGGGTGCAGTAATTCTTCCAGGCTACTCTAGGACTATTAGGCAAGAAACTTTATTTTTGAAATGGACAGGAAACATAGAATAATTATTCAAAGATAACAAGTCTTCTTACTTCAAAATCATACCACTCTGATTTGAATGAAAATACCAAAGTTCTTGCGTTTGGTTGGTTTATGTTTGTTCTTGAACCTGAGGTCTGAAAAATAAAGCAACTCCATCTTCTTAAACAAGATAGAGCCAAATAACTTTTAAAACTTCTATGTGAAAGATGTTAAAAAAAAAAACTTTTATGCGAGGACAAATATGCAGAAAACACAAAAGAGGTGAGGGCTTTTTCTGCATCACTGTAATTAATGCCCAACATATAGCAACAGTTAGCCTGGTATAATGCAAAGAGCAATGATGTTAGAGACCAATGACCCGAATTCAACCCTAATTCTGTCTCAAACAAGATATGGGACTTTGAGAAAGTTTCTGGTACATCTTTGTGTCTTCGATTCCTCATTGTAAAACTGTGTTGCTGAGAGGATAATATGAGACTAAGTACGCAAAAACAATTTGTAAGAGAGCTACTATATCTAACCCAGACCGTGCTTGCTGTCAGTAACAGCATAAGTTATCATTCATTGTGGGCAGCTTCTGGACTTTCTACTTGGAAGCCCAGTTCGAGGCAAAAGCAGCAGTGAGTTTAGAAACAGGGGCTCATACATTCTGAAGTTCTTTCCATTAGTGAAAGCGGTAACCTTGGAGACCAGGCTGGTACCACCTCTTTCAGTCATAAAACTTAGTTTCTCTTGCTTTCCCCCGTAATGTTTGGGGCACCACAATTTCATGGTCTTTTTCTTTCTGGTTATTGTTTTCTCTCCACATCGTTAGCACAAGCAAGAAAACCTACTGAAGCAAATACAAAATCTAGTTGCCCCTTCTGCCCGCAGCTCACCTAAGTTTTCCTTACATAGCGGTCGCAACCTCAGACGTCCTCAAAAACAAAAACTCTCACGAAGGCCATGGCATGGTAGGCACTCCCTAGACCGTGGGTCAAGGGGATTGAGCAGATAAAAGCCGAAGGGGCTCCAGTTCAGGTACACAAGTACTAACCCAGACCGCCAAAATCGTCACAACACTCTTCCAGAGATAACCCTCGCGAGATAAGACTGAGAAGAGCGAGAAAAGCCCACTTTCTCGCGAGAAGAGGGGGCGTTGGCGGAAACTAGGAAATGGCCCCCTTGGCGACCCAGACCCAGCCAATGGGCGGGGCCAGAGTTAAATCCACCCCCTTCCGGCTCTTTTCCCCGCCCCCTAACCCTGAAGTGTTGGACCTGGGGTTCGGGCAGCTGGGTTCTGGTTCCGCCCAGCTGGTGCGGGGTCTAGTTCAGCGCCTGTGGAACGCGCTGTGGCAGGATTTGAAGGGGGGGGCGGGGAGGGGCCTGCGGCTTGCGGCCCCGCCCCCTTCTCCGGCTCGCGGGCGGGCGAATCGGCCCGCCTCCGGCTTCAGCCGGCCCTGGGGCCGTGTTCCCCAGGCAACTCAGCCACCTCGGCCTGAGCGTCTGCCTGCAGGCGTCAGCGCCGAGGCACCGGGGTACAGCCTGGTTCGGCCCCATGGTGGGTTTCGGGGCGAACAGGCGGGCCGGCCGCCTGCCCTCCTTCGTGTTGGTGGTCCTGCTGGTGGTGATCGCGGTCCTCGCCTTCAACTACTGGAGAATCTCCTCCCGCCACGTCCTGCTTCAGGAGGAGGTGGCCGAGCTGCAGGGCCAGGTCCAGCGCACCGAGGTGGCTCGCGGGCGCCTGGAGAAGCGCAATTCGGACCTGCTGCTCTTGGTGGACTCGCACAAGAAACAGATTGACCAGAAAGAGGCCGATTACGGCCGGCTCAGCAGCCGGCTGCAGGCCAGGGAGGGCCTCGGGAAAAGATGCGAGGATGACAAGGTAAGGACGAGCCCTCTCCCCTCAACCCCCAGTTTTTTTCAGCTCCGCGGTGGGGGTGTTCGCCCAGCCGTGGCTGCCTTATGCCTTCCAGAATTGAAGCCTCGGAGGCTTCCCTTACCGCTAACAACCCTATTTCTGTCGGACTTTAACCGGTTTAATCACTGCCACATTTTCCAGTCCCTGCCAGATGAAACTGGCTGTAAGCTTTGGTTCTCAAGAGTGGCCTGTGTGTGGATGCCGCCTCTTCTCCAAGCTCAGCTGCTGAGCTGGCAGTAGTAATCATCTGGCCTATGTGGTCGGCCGCCTTACGTTTACAGATACACAAATCTGGAGGCTGCCGGATTTGGTGTGTTACCTTATTCTTTATTCCGTGCACACTGATTATTATTAATTTATTTATTTAAAGAATGGGGCCTCCTCTAACTCCTCTACTTATGATGGTCACCATATATTTTTTAAAGCAGTCTGAGTTTTCTTACATCTCTATAGGGCTATGTATTAAGCAAAGAGTTGGATATTACTGCCTTTTTTGTGATGAAAATGTGATGATAGATGTGCTCTGGAGCCATATATGAGCCACTTGTGACTTGGACATAGATAATCCAAAATTATGTACTCAGTTTGAATGGTTAGTGAAATTAGCCGAAAAGGTAGAACCTAGAAATAAGTTCTAAGCAACAGAATCTCATGTCATTGTCCTCATTGATCTTGAAAGGAAATAAAAATGAAATTTTGTATGCCTAACTATTAGGGTTGGTGTTGGAAGGCCATACTAAGTTTAAATTTTAAAAGTTTAAAGCTAGACTGTAATTAGACCTGCCGCTGAATAGTCTTTGTTCTCACCAGCATATTGGGAACTATGTTATTAACTTATGACCTATGCAACTTCTGTTGATTTACCACAGTAAATTTCTGGGTGGGATAAGTAGATGCCTTTCTTTCTGGACCCTCTTTTGGTAGTCTTCACACTTTTTTGTGTGTGTTCCTATTACAAGTTTTTATTTTGTATATTAAAATCATTTGTAGTAAGTCATTATAAATTAAAATCTCCTGAGCTCCCAACTTCCTTATTGTCACCAACCTCTACCTTGTTTCTTATTTCATGAAGATTGAAGCCCTCAGGTAAGTGCTTTTCTATGACCTACACCTTCACCATAACAGAGACAGCTTCTGAGAGGAGCAAGAGCTCAGCAAACTTACAAACATACTACATACTCAACTCTATAGACTGAAAAATTCTCTTGGGTGGAATAGGCAGAAATCCATGAAATTTTGTAGTATTAAAACAAGGTCTTCAGTCTTGGAGTGGTTAGGCATACTATTCAAATTCTCTCCAATCTGGAAAGAAAGATAAGTCTTTTTTAGTAATTTATACTCAGGATTCCATTTCTTCCATCTGCTGGACTGTAATTATCAGTTTCTTTCAGTAGGTTTTCACTTTTACCTTCAACCATATGTAGGTGTTCGCTGTTCTAAAATTTTTTTATTCTTCCATGTACTCCCTTCTCCCAATCAACCAATGTCTTTTTTTTTTTTTTTTGCGGTACGCGGGCCTCTCAGTGTTGTGGCCTTTCCCGTTGCAGAGCACAGGCTCCAGACGCGCAGGCTTAGCGGCCGTGGCTCACGGGCCCAGCCGCTCCGCGACATGTGGGATCCTCCTGGACTGAGCACGAACCTGTGTCCCCTGCATCGGCAGGCGGACTCTCAACCACTGCGCCACCAGGGAAGCCCCAAACAATGCCTTTTTAAATTTTCACTGCTAAACTCCGGTTATGGGTGGTCTATAAATGTTTCATCTATTTCTTTTTTCATCCCCATCCTAATTTTTTTTATTCTGTATGCCATCCTTCTTTCCTCCTCTTTTCTGAAGCTATTCTCTTGAAGGTTACAGGTGTCAGTCTTCCTGGTCAAATCCAAAAAAACATTTTTATTCTCATTCTATTTAATTTCTCAGTAATTGATTGTCTGTAGCTTTTTGGAAACTATCTCCTTTCTTGCTTCTGTATCATTGAACTCTCCGGCTTTGCTTCCTGCCGTCTTCACTGTATTCTTTGATGGATTTTTTTTCCCCTCTCCAACAGCGTAATAGTAATGGACTTTATTCTTGGGCCTTTGCTTTCCCCTTACAGCAGTATTTCTCAAGGTGGTGTTAAAACAGAATGCTGTCCTAGAAATTGTTTGTAGATGGTCAGGAGAAAAGCCTTCTTTTTGGAGGGAAATGTTAAATAATATAAGCAGTGTATCCTCCTCTTGGAATTCATAATGCCTGCTAGCATATAAAGGCTCTGAGAAATGTATTAGTAAAGAAGCCTATTTAATTTTGTTTAACTTAGTCTCTATCAGTTAATTTGATCACCGACTACTGTTTTCATGGCCTACTTGTTACCATGGTACAGAAGAATGTAGCAAAGCACACTAGTTTGGGAAATGTTGCCCCAGGTATCTTAACTATTGTTTGGCTAATATTCTATGCAGCTGGCTCACAAATCTGTACCTCTTCTTTGCATGTCAATTTTATATTTTGAACTAGCTATAGCATCTTCGTTGGAGAGCTTGTGAGTGTATGTTCCTGGGGTTAATGAGGAGGCTTTGAGTTGCTAATAGAAAGGGTTGTCTTGGTCTAGATGAACTATAGATGAAATTTGTCTTTCAGAGGTGTTTCCTTTATTCCTGCTACTCCTTCAGTAGCTGAGAGGAGGGATTTATTTTCTATAAATGATCTAAAATCCCTTTGGGTGGTGATAGTGTTGAAGTAAATTTGACAATTAAAAGTGTCTTCCATTTTGAAATAGACTTGTTTTAATGTTTAATCATTAATGTAGTCTCTTTAAAGTAAAGGCTCGCTCTGCCTTTCAGGGTTTTTACCTATAGTACACACTGGTGCTGGCCCCCTCAATAATCATTTATACCCCCTTTGTTTGGTATATATCCTTCTCTGTGACTCAGGGCTAAGTCCTGATTGGTTTAAACTGATTTTGGTAATTTCATTATTCCCAGTGATTAGTTTAGGAAGGGGCTGGCTAGTGAGTCATGAAGGGAAGTTTCCTTGCTCCTTAAAAGAGTCATACTTGCACCTCTGTGGTTATCTTACCCCAAATCAAAAATCTCCAGTCTAATCATAAGAAAGCATCAGACAAACTCATATTCAGGGACATTCTACAGAGTACCTGAGCAGTACTCTTCAAAATGAAGAGATGGTTTCTTCTGCCAGATACTGTTGCTTCTGCACATGATACCTGAAATTGAGGCAACCGGAGTGCCAGGAGAGTTAGCTAAGGAATGGCTGAGGCACTGAAGATGGCAGAGTGGAGTGTTACAATAGAGTATTGGCACTCGTTTTGTGAGATAAAAAAATTTCCATATTGTTTAAGCCAGTCAAGTTGAGAGTTCCTTAGCTGCAGCCTAAGTAAGGTATCCTGACTTAATATTCCATTGTCACCATAGTTTCTGAGATGTAGGTTAAATCTTATGTGTCCCCAGGGCAATGTGGGCAGTGACCTCAAATCTGCACGTGATTTTGGGGTTCCTCAAGGGTCTTTATCTTAAGTATCAACAGTGGTGTTTGGACGCCTGACTAGGTACTTGCTTCACAGTTTTTTGGAGACCAGGATCTTATGGTGGCATCACCTCCCTATATACCCTTCCCCCCTCCACTCCATAGATGTTCCACACCAAAACTCGCTTTGCCCTGATGAGCTAGTTGCCTTAGGTATGATGTGTTTTGAGGGGGTGTTGGCAAGGCAGTCCTTGCTCTGGCTACCATTTTTTTTTTTAACTGTTATTTTAGAACATTTTAGATCTATGGAATTATGGCAAAGATAGTACAAACAGTTTCCTCATACCCCACACCTAATTTCCCCTGTTATTAATATCAGGTGCATTTGTCAATTAATATGGTGCATTTGTCATAATTAATGAATCGCTATTGATACATTATTAATAACAAGTCCATACTTTATTTTGATTTTCTCAGTTTTTCTCTAATGCCCTTTTTCTGTTCCAGGATCCCATCCAGGGTTCCACAGTACATTTAGTTGTCATGTCTCTTTATTCTTCTATTAGTTGTGACAGTTTTTTCAGACTTTGTTTTTTATGATATTGAAAGTTTTGAGGATCACTGGTCAGGTGTTTTGTAGAATGTCCCTCAGTTGGGATTTGTTTGATGCTTTTCTCAGGATTAGACTCAGGTAATGGTTTGGGGGAGGAAGACCACAGAGATAAAGTGACATACTCATCGTATCAAGGGAACATCTCTCAAAATGACTTATCACTAGATGTTAATCTTGATCACCTGGCTTGAGGTAGTGTTTGTCAGGTTTCTCCACTGTAAAGTTACTCTCTTTTTCTGCTTTTCCATACTGTACTCTTTGGAAGGAAGTTACTATGTGCACTTAATGAATTGGGAGTTATGTTCTATCTCCTTAAGGGCAGAGTATCTATATAAATTACTTGGAATTCTTCTGCATATAAATTACTTGGACCTTTATCTCTTCTCCCTTATTTATTTATTCAGTCATTTATTTATATCAATATGGATTCATGGATATTTATTTTATACTTTAGGTTATAATCCAGTGCTACTTTATTTTGTTGCTCAAATCGTTCCAACTTTGGCCATTGGGAGCTCTTTCATTTGCCTCCTGTATCCCTCTGACATAATACCCCATCATTGTGACAAACCCCTACTTTCTGGCACTACAAGATGCTTCTGGCTTATCTTATATACTTCCTGCCCCAGTCCTAGACTCCTTCTCCACGGAGCCCTAGTTCCTTTTATTGGAAAATGGTATTAGAGACCAAAGTCTAGGTGCTAGGTGTACTCGTTGCAACTGTCAGGCTATCTTTGGGAATCTAGGAATCCCTGCTCCATAGGAATCGGAAAGGTGACATTGGACATCTTCTAATTTATTTTTCTATCCTGCCATTTTCAGTCTGTTTTCTGGGCTGTTAGAACACAGAAATTCTTTAAGGGAGCTTGAAATTGTCCATGGAAGTGAGAA